TTCAATTAACTTCACTACAGTAGAAAATATCAACTACCATCCTTTACTTCCTTTGCCCCTCATTAAAGACTAATACAAGTTAGCATTTCAGATGCGTAGATCATTCTTTATGCCAGTTAAAAGAACAAACTTTATCTCATCAGTTCTCAAACTCTAAGATGCAGTAGAATCACCTAGAATGCTTTTAAAATGCAGATTCTCAGGCCTCAACCCTACCTTCCTGCACTAAATCAAGTTTGTACAGAAGGGACTGGGAATCTGCTTGTTAATATGTGCTTCAGATAATTCTAATGTAGGTAATTAGCCAACCACACTTTGATAACCATTGCCTTATTTATTCTTTACAAAAATGTCCATTGCCAGGTCTTTCTTTCCTGTGGATGCTAACTACAGGATTATTTAGGTTCCTCTGCTCTTTGTCTCCCATAGTGGCCCCCTTTGCAAACTCCAAATACTTTATATTTATTTATTCTTGTGTCTTTTTACCCCAACTAGACCGTGAGCTCCTTGAGAGCCAGGATTTGTCTCTGTTCCCAGTGTTAAGGACATGGCCTGGACCATAGAAGATACTTGGTTTTTCGTTGAATAAATAGGTAACATGGATTTCAGCCACAAAAAAAAAAAAAAAAAAAAATCAGATTTTCCTGTGGGTCTTACATTTCCGATCATGATTAGTTTGCTAGGGCTGCCATAACAAGGTACTGTCGACTGGGTGATTTCAGCAACAGAACATTTATTTTCTCTCTAATCTGGAGGATAGATGTTGAAGACCAAAGTGTCAGTAGATTTGTTTCTTTCGGCACTTGAGAATCTATCATCCTCTGGACCCCATGATATCTGATGAGAAATTGGAAGTAATTTTGTTGAGCATAATTTGTCCATGATGAGGTGCTTCTCAGTGCTTTCAGGGTTGTCTTTGGCTTTCAACAGTTTGATGAATGTGTCTCAGTGTGGGTCTCTGATTTTTATCTTTCTTGAAATGTGGTGAGCCTCTTGGGTTTACAGATTCATGTCTTTTATCAAATCCAACCCAGGGCTTTTTAATTTCTCTGTCTTTATTTTTGTTTCTTTCTATTTTATTTTCAGTTGAAAAATTCTAGGAGTTTCTTTGAGGTGTGAGGCCATATTGTCAGAGGTGTGTGAACCAGAGTAAGTCCATCTGAAATAGGAACTGGGTAAATGACCTACTGGGCTGCATTCCCAGATGGTTAAGGCATTTTAAGTCACAGGATGAGACAGGTTACAAATGCCATGGCAACATCAGGAAGTTACCCTATATGGTCTAAAAGGGGAGGCATGAAGAATCCACCCCTTGTCCAGAGTATTATCAAGAAATAACCATAAAAATGGGCAACCAGCGGCCCTCAGGGCTGCTCTGTCTGTGCAGTCGCCATTCTTTCATTCCTTTACTTTCTTAATAAACTTGCTTTCACTTTGCCCTGTGGACTCGCCCTGAATTCCTTCTTGGGTGAGATCCAAGAACTCTCTCTTGGGGTCTGGATTGGGACCCCTTTCCTGTAACATATTTCTCTGTCCTGTAACACTGTGGTTTAAATAGTTTAAATACACGTGAAACATACTATTTTTTAGAAGTCACATATTTTTTCGTTTCTCATGAATAATCAAAGGGTTGTAATCTACTGGGTTAGCTCATAGTAGGTTTTCTTTTCTCGAGACAGGGTCTCACTCTGTTGCCGGGCGCCAGGCTAGAGTGCAGTGGCATGAGCTCGGCTCACTGCGGCCTCCACCTCCCAGGTTCAAGCAATGCTCCTGCCTCAGCCTCCCAAGTAGCTGGGACTACAGGCTCGTGCCACCACACCCAGCTAATTTTTGTATTTTTTTAGTAGAGACGGGGTTTCACCATGTTGGCCAGAATGGTCTTGATCTCTTGACCTCGTGATCCACCTGCCTCTGTCTCCCCAAGTGTGGGGATTACAGGGTGAGCCACCACACCCGGCCTAGGCCTTTCTTGATTTGGAAGTTTCAGGAATGTTTTGTAATTTACAGTGTATAAGCCTTTCACTCCTTGGTTAAATTTATTCCCAGATATTTCATGCTTTTAAATAATATTGTATACGGAATTGCTTTTTAAATTTCCTTTTCTGATTGTTCAGTAGTGGTATTTAGCAACATAACTAGTTTTTGCGTGTAGATCTTGTATACTGAAATTTTGCTGAGTTGTTTATTTGCTGTCGGAGTTGCCTTACATAGTTTGGGATTTTCTATGTGTAAGATCATTTTGTCTGTGAATACAGTTTAACTTCCTTTTCAGTTTGAATGCCTGTTATTCCTTTTCCTTGTCTTATTGCTCTGGCTAGAACTTCTAGTCCAGGCCTGGTGCAGTGGCTCACACCTGTAATCCCAACATTTTGGGAGGCAGAGGCGGACGAATCGCTTGTGCCCAGGAGTTTGAGACCAGCCTGAACAACATGGCAAAACCCTATCTCTACACAAACCAAAATTTCCCAGATGTGGTGGCACATTCCTGTGGTATCAGCCCCAGGAGGCTGAGATGAGAGGGTGACTTTCGGCCCAGGAGGTCGAGGCTGCAGTGAGCTATGATGGTACAGTGGTACTCCAGCCTGGACAACAGTGAGACCCTGTTAAAAAAAAAAAATACAAGGAAGCTTCCAGCGCAATGTTGAATAGCTCTGGTGAAAGCAGGCAATTGTGACTTGTTTGTGAAGTTGTGGGAAAACTGTTCAGTCTTTTGCCATTCAGTATGATGGTAGCTGTGGGTTTTCATAAGTGCCTTTATTATGTTGAAGAATCTTCACTCTATTCCTCATTTTTGGGTTTTTTTTTTTTAATAAAACTATGGTTCTGTTTTTAGTTCTGAGAGTTTTTATCATGAAAATGTGTTGGCTTTTGTAAATGCTTTTTCTGTACCAATTAAGATAATGATTCCACTGATGTAAGGTGTTAGATTGATTTGATTTGCTTATGTTCAACAATCTTTGCATTCCTGTTACAAATTCTACTTGGTCAGGATATATAATGTGTTGTATTTGGTTTACTTGTGTTTTTTTATTTTCATGTCTTAATATGGCTTTGTTATTAGGGTAATGCTGG